AACGAGTTCTTAAAAAGATTTTGAGATATAATGTGCAAAACTATAAAACTCACCTATTTTAAGTATACAATTCATGATTTGTAGTAAATTCATAGAGTTGTGCAACCATCACCATATTCTAACCCATTTTTTCCCCCATGGGGATTATACGGTAGAAACCATGTTATTTATTTTTCTAGTATAAAGTTACATTATGGATTCATTACAATTGTAAAGCAATTCAAGGATGCAAAGATGATTCACTGAAAATTTGTGCAGTTGACGTGTTCAGGCAATTGCCCTACTGAAACAAATAGGGAGAAAAAGAGGGAGGGTGGCTGGAGGAAGTGCTGAGAAATGGTTACTAGCCACACCCTGAGTCAGATGGCTGGAGTTCAGATTCTGGCATCCCTCCTTGTTTCATAGCTGCCTGACCTCAAACAAATTACTTAAACTTTCTGAGCTTGGGCTTAACTCATCTGGACGCTGACAGTTCCTACTTCATGGGGTTATGAAGGATGAATGAAATCATATATGCAAGGGGCTTAGCATACTCCTGGCATATAAGAACTACTCAATAAATGTTAGCTGGACTTTCCTGAGCAGCCACAAAGGTCTACATGCTCTGATTCAACTTATATGAAACTAGAGGCCCAGTGCATGAATCTGTGCACCAGTGGGGTCCCTTGGCCTGGCATGCAGAATCAGGCTGAAACTGGCTCTCCCCTGAGGGGGTCCCGGATTGCAAGGGGGTGCAGGCCAGGCCGAGGGACCCCACTGATGCACGATTGGGGCTGGGAAAAGACGTGGGAGGTTTGCCAGCCAGGGAGGGGTTCAGGGAGAGCTCCCGGGCATGTCTGACCCATCTCACTCAGGCCCAATAGGTTGGACCCCAGCAGCAAGCTAACCTACCAGTCAGAGTGTCTGCCCCCTGGTGGTCAGTGCATGTCATAGCCAGCGATTGAGTGGCCTTAGCTTAGCATATGCACTTTGATTGGCTGAACAGACCACTGGGTGACCAGACACTTAGCATAATAGGCTTTTATTTCTAAAAGCAATAGGAGATTCTAGAAAAGGTAAATGATGGTGGTAGAAAGCTGATCAGTGGTTGCCAGAGGCCAGAGAGTGGGGATAGAAAATTAACAGCAAAGAGGCACAGGAAACTTTTGGGGGTTTTCTGTATTATCTTCAGGATGGTGTTTTGTAAACATTTGTCATCCAATTATACACTTAAACTTGGTGAATTTTATGGTATGTAAAATAAAGCTGACACCTCCCTACCCCTGAAATATAGGTTTGAATTTTCGATTATTTTACATGTTAGAAGCAAGAATCAATTTCTAAACTCAGGCAACAAATATTTGTTGAACACCTACTACATACAGAACACTGTATGTTCTTTGTGCTGAGGATACAGCCTTGAAATAAACAGCATCCCTTCAGTCACTTCTAGTTCAAGCAAATACTATACACCTATGTTTGGGGTGACAAAAGGGGCCAGTGCAGGATGCTGGGTACATAAAGGTGACAAGGTAATGGGAAGAGGGGTAGAGGAGCACTAAGTAGTATAATTATGTGTCCAGGATTTTTCTTTTAGTTTTCAAACATACCTAGCAGGATTAGCTCAGTGTATAGAGCATCGGCCTGAGGACCAAAGGGTCCTGGTTTTGATTCTGGTCAAGGGCATGCATATACCTGGGTTGTAGGCTCCTCCCTGGCCCAGGCCCTGGTTAGGGCTCGTGCAGGAGGCAACCAATTGATGTGTTTCTCTCACATATATGTTCCTCTCTGTCTTTCCCACTCTCTGCCATTCTCCCTAAGAATCAATGGAAAAATATCCTCGTTTTAGGATAAAAAAAAACACGGAAGCAAACACAGCATCTCTGTGTCTGAAGATGATGCCACTGACGGACCTATGACAGAGGCCTCTGGGTGACCGGTGACAGTGGCACACCTTCTGTAAGACCCAGTGTCCACCTGCGAGGGAAGAGGACTGGTATCATCAGTCCAAGGACCATGCGGACGCTTCACAGGACTCAGGGGCAGCGCGGCTTTGACCTTGGCCTCGTCCAGCCGGCCCTCTCTTGGCTCCAAGGAGCACCTGCCCTCTGCAGATAGATCTGCAGATAGATCGTCAGCAGCGGAGACCTCAGGTTCCTCACGCGCTAAGCCTGGGTGTGCGAGGTGACCCCGCCCACTGAGGGACCCCGCCCACTGAGGGACCCCGCCCACGTGGGGGTCGAAGGCAGATGCGGACGGCGGGCTGAGACTCGGGGGAACCTGGTTGGCTGAACAGCCTGAGCCACGTGGGAGGCGGGGCGGGGCCTGGGGGCGGAGCCTATGGGGGCGGAGCCCGAGGGGCGGGGACTGGGGCGGGGCCTGCGGGGGGGAGCCGGGGTGCGGAGGGCCCCCTCGCGGCGCCCTGCGGGAGCGGGATGCTCCGCAGGTCTGCGGGCGCCGGGGGCGGGGTCAGCGCCGGTGGAGCTGCGCCCCGGCCCCGCCCGGGAGCCGGCGGGAGGCGGGGCGGCCCCCGTCCTCCCACACTGGCTCTGGGCTGAGCCCGGAGAGGAGAAACGGAGGAGTCGGCTCCGAGCTCCCTGCCTGGCTTTGGGAGGCGGCAGGCGGAGGAGGAACATGGCGTTCGTAGGCAACGGAACTCCCGAGCTGGAAGCGGACGAGGTACTGGCCGGTGCGGGGCGGGCAGTGTGTGGGCACTGCGCCTGGACCCGGCCGGGATGGCCCAGGTCCCGCCCCCTGGGTCCCCGTTTGGGGACCGGCAGTCTCTCCCGCCTGGAGGGATGGGCAGGGGCGCGGGAGGGAGGTCTGTCCCCGCGGGAGCGAGAAGGGTCCCCGGGGCGCTCGGAGCGGAGGCGGGGCGCCCGGCACCTTGTGGGGTTGTGTGGATGGATGGGGGACGCTTCATCCGATCGTCGGGTGGATGGGTGATAGGGCGCGCGGGGGCCTCTCCAGGTGCACCCGGCGTTCGGAGGTCCGGCCCCCAAGTCCCCACGCTGGCCCTCGCCGGTGCGTGCCGCGGTGACTGGAGCCGGGATGGAGTCGCACCTTCTATGGAAGTTTCCTGGAGGCAGAACCGAAAGGCTTAGGGCAGTCAATGAGAGGAGGGGGACACCAGGCCGGGGGGAGGGGGGAGAGAAGAACCCCAGGGGTGTCTGTCTGTCTGTCTTCCTGGGTGCAAAGGGCCGGGGCTACCGCAGGGCTGGGGCGCAAAGAGCGCGGAGCAGCCGCCTAGGAGTCCGCTCGCGGTCCACGGGGCCAGGCCTTTCCCAAGCGGGTCCCCGGGCCGGCGGTGTAGACGGGGAGAAGGCGGGCCGGCGGTGTAGACGGGGAGAAGGCGCTGCGGAACCACTGAGACATCCAGTCGTCTGTGCCGGCTTTAAGTCATTAACCACTTCCTCCTGCCGGGCCTGGGCGCCTGTGGGCGTGCGCGCCGGCCCGACCTGTTGATTTTATAGACGCTTCTGGCAGCCCTTGGCCTCTCCGGGCTCCGGGAGGCAGACGCGCTCTCTGCAGCTGGAAGTTGAGGACGGCTGCTGCTGCTGCTGCTGCTGCTGCTGCTGCTGCCATTTTACCTGACTTGAATCTTACAAGTCGCTGCCTGAGGAGGCTTAGTTTCAAATGATGCAATAGTGGAAGATCCGGAGGAGGCGGGTTAAGATTCCCTTCCATCTCCCCCTCAAAGCCGGGAAACTCCAGACAGTGAGCACGAGGCTTGAAATGTAGCCCTTCACATAAAAACCAAACCCAACCCGAGCGAATAGACCTCCTTTGCGTGACCTGCAGACAAGAGGAGGGCGAGCCTGGCGGGCCAGAACCTTCCTGACAGCCTGTACTGGAGACGAGGGCACCAAGATCGCAGACCAAGGTGCTAGAGCTTGCTTCACTGCATCTGTTTTTCTTTTGAAACTTTAAAGCTACCTATTAAAAAAAAAAAAAGCAAATGATGCAATGTGACATTGGTTGCTCATTTCACCGGTGACAACCTTTCCTTACAACTCCAAGCTGTTTTCTTTGGTGTGTCCGAACCAGCTGTTTTTCATTCCTTAGCTCTCGACTGTCATCAAGGTGGTAGCACCTTTGTGGTGCTTTGACCCTGCAGGCACCCCGTTCCTCAAAAGCTGTTGGGGCTCCCTGTTGTACAGTGCATGTAGCATCCGTGCACCTGGCGTGCAAGGCTCTGCACAGTGTGGTCTCCATTCGATGTTCCTGCCTTGTCCCCAGCTGCTTCTCTAGGTAGCCGTTTGGTTTAATCAGTGTTGTGCCCATCTTATCGATATAAGTGAGGAAACAAGACGAAGAGTAGCTGGTAAATGTGGAGTGAACATCTTGAATCCCTAGTCTGCTCATGGGGGTCCGGGAGAGGGGTAAGTGCTACACTTAGGGCTGTATAATTGTCTACACCAGGGTATTGTTGAGAGAGAAGGCGGATGCTATTAATAATTCATGCTGGGACAATAGGTGTAAACGGGGGCATATGGAGACATATGGCCACCCTGGCCATGCCCATGGCCTGCAGGATGAGCAGATGTGTGGAGGTGCATTAGAAGGGCTGTCGCTCTGTGGGGGAAGTTAGGTTTCAGAGCAGCAGAGAGCCTGGCACACAGATACTTGATGAATACATATTTGTTGAGTGAAGGAACAAATGAGTGGCTGCAGAAAAAACGTTGCTCAGTAATTCCTTCTCTTTTGCCATACATTTCATTCACTTTTTAAATGTAATAGCTCTTAGGCGCCTGTTACATATTAGGTTCTGTCCTGGTCCTAGGAGATGAGCAAGGTACACATAGTATTTTTTTTAAAAAAATATATTTTATTGATTTTTTACAGAGAGCAAGAGAGAGGGATAGAGAGTTAGAATCATCGATGAGAGAGAATCATCGATCAGCTGATTGGGGATGTGCCCACAACCAAGGTACATGCCTTTGACCGGAATCGAATCTGGGACCTTTCAGTCTGCAGGCCGATGCTCTATCCACTGAGCCAAACCGGTTTCAGCCGTAGTATTTTTTATTCATGCCAAATCCACTTTTGTCCCTCGTGGTGCACCCGTTCCATTGGTATAAGTTTACAAACATTTGACCAACATTTATTCTGTGTTCAAACTTGGTAGGTGCTTTAGAAAGACAAGACACAGTTTTGACTGTCTAGGGTTCTCCATCTGGGTAGGGCAGTGGTCAGCAAACTCATTAGTCAACAGAGCGGCAAACCGCAGCTCGTGAGCCACATGTGGCTCTGAGCCACAGTTTGCTGACTAAAGGGGGATGTGACATGTACAGGATTCTAGAAAAGAGCTCAAGGCAAGGTAAGCAAGTTAGAAATGGTGCATTGTAGACTGGGTATCCTTATTTGCACCAAGTTCCTGACTTTCAGCAGGCTGAAATGCTCTGCACACGAGTGAACAAGACCTTCAACTTTACTGGTTGTGTGAACTGAAATAGCTTATTTCAGCTGGGAAATTTTCCAAACACTAAACATTTAATAGTTTCTGTGGCCACTCTTTGATACTCCAGGGAAATAGAAGGGCGTGGCTGGAAAGGGTAGTACAAGTGCCAAGTGGTATGATTGGAGAAGTAACTGCCTCAGAATTAGGTGAACTGGGCTCTCAGTTCTGTCACTCATTTGCCCCGTAACCATTCACTCATCATGTGTGCAAATATCTGGCTGTCTCATGTGTCAAACCCAGTGCTAGCCGAGAGACACAACAGTGAACTAGACAGACAAGGACCTTGCCCATAACTGGTGACTTTAATTGACATGTCTCTCAGCTTCTCAGGGCTCTGCTGTTTCTTCATATGAGGAAGGAGGGGCTGGATGAGCCTTAAGTGTTTTTCCAGCTCCAAAAGCCTGTGCTTTCAGAGCAGAGGGAGAAGGTTAATAATAATATGGGGATCTCTTTTTTTTTTTTTCAAAGTAACTAAAGAGAAGGGGTAATAGAAGATCTTTCATAATGAGAGCAGATGTGTTGAGATGCATTACACTGTGGGATGCAGTGTAAATGGATGCTTGTTTTTTATGTAGGAGGATAAAAATGAGAGGGTACCGAGATTAGGACCTGCCACCTCAGAGGTGCCAAAAATTGATTCTGGAGGGGAGACAGAAACATCTTAGATTTTACAATGGTGTGTGGTCCTTCAAACCTTGGTTAACAAAATCTCATTTCTTAACATTCGGTTTTCTTGGGAATTACACAAGCAACATTGACCTGAGGTCCATGAAAGGTATACAGAAATTGTGCAAGGTCAATACTACAAATCTATGGCAAATAGGTGGCTATGACTGGAGGACCATCAGCTGCTTGATCTTGAAGTTGTATCTCTCTTGGTGAACTCCTCTTTCTTATGGGCTGCTGTTGGCTGCCCTTCTTGCTATGTTTGGTCCTCGGTGCTTTTGTATGACTTGGAATTTGAGAATTAAACAAAAATAGTTTGTTTATATTTTATTATTGAATCCTGTTACAATTATTCAGTTCACCAATAATTATGTGAAAAAGTACTAAAAAGAGAATATATCACCCTGGCCGGAATAGCTCAGTGGTTAGAGTATGTGCTGCCACCCTCCCTCTGCACTGAAGGGTCCAGGGTTCCATTCCCTGTCAAGGGCAAGTACCTAGGTTCCAGGTTCCATCACCTCTCCCATTGGGGGCATGTGGGAGGCAACCAATTGATGTCTTTCTCTCACATTGAAATTTTCCCCTCCCTCTCTCCCTCTCTTACTTCTTCTCTCTCTTTGGGTGAGGAAAATATATTGACAATATCTGATTGAATATCTAGGAGCTAGTTAAATTAAAAATTATTTTCTCATATGAAACAAGAGTTAATTTCATTAAAAATAAATTTTAAGAAGATAATTTTTCAGTTGTTTTACCTTTGCTGGAAAAATGATAGTTTTGAATGTCTTAAAAATTTGGTTATATTTCTGTTAGGTAGAAATTGGTAATTTGCACATGTAAATTGATACATTATATTTTATATTAAAATTCTATTAAAAGTTACTCAGCAGCCTAAACTGGTTTGGCTCAGTGAATAGAGCACTGGCCTGTGAACTGAAGGGTCCCAGGTTCGATTCCAGTCAAGGGCATGTACCTTAGTTGCGGGCACATCCCCAAAAGGGGGTGTGCAGGAGGCAGCTGATGGATGATTCTCTCTCATCGATGTTTCTAGCTGTCTATCCCTCTCTCTTCCTCTCTGTAAAAAATTAATAAAATATGTTAAAAAAATGTTACTCAGCAAATACAGTTACAAAGTTAAATGTTCATAACTTTAAACTTTTAATAACTGAAATTTTTTTATTAAGTCAATCTGAATCCTTTATTGAACAAAAAGATTAAACTCTACCTCCTCGTTTTATGTAAAAAGCTCAGATAGATCTGGGTGCTATTAAAACGTCATGGGGGGGGGGTGTAGTTAGGAAAAGATGTTTTAAAAGGCTTCGTAGGGGGCCATAAGGAAAAGCAGCCGAGAATCACCGAGTTAGGGAAGGGAATGGCCTGTGTGATGATGTCCCCATGACCTGCTCTTTGGGCCCAGATTTTTTTAAGTCTGATTCTGATTGAGAAACTTTTTTTCTTTGGGATTTTAGGAGAATTTTAAGTCACATTGATTGCTACAGTTTCTTAGAATCAGCTTCATCCTTTCACCAGTGTTTCTTGAGCACATGGTGCTAACAGCCTTTAAGATACACACACTAAGTGTGGAAACACACTAAGGTAAGACAACATCATTGGCCTGCAGAGCTCTCTTGCAAAGGACACAGGTGCACAGGTAGCTAGTTCTGTCTTTGGGCCAGGATAAGTTTTCGGTAGGAGGGCAATGTAACTTATTGTCACAATAGGACACTCTGAGAGTGAACGGCGTGCGTTCAGGAGTTACCCCAGGACGGCAGTGATGGTTGACAGCCTCGTTGAGTGGCTCGCAAAGACTTTAAAGAGGGGATGGTCTTTGGGCTGGGGCTTGAAGGCTGAGCAAGGTGATGTTGAGAGGAGCAATGGGATAAGCTCAGGCCTGGGTGGACGCTGAGACGGGGGGGAATGCGAATGCACCTGGGATAGCAGGGCGTCAGCCATGAGAAGGAGAGCTGGTGAGGGCTGAGCCTGCACAGCCAGCTTGGTTCACGTGGTACAGTGTCCGAATGTCAGGCTAAGGAGTTTGGGCGCTTCTAAAAAAAAAAAAAAAAAAAAAATGGGAATCTGGACTTCTTTCTTCATGTAATCAAAAGTATATTTACTTTTTTACACTCGGTATTATTTTGTATTGGTTTCAGGTATACAGCAAAGTGGTTAGACAATCATATACTTTGCAAAGTATTTCCCTATATGTTTCCAGTACCCACCAGGCACCATACTTAGTTATTGCAATAGTATTGACTATATTCTCTATGCTGTATTTTACATTCCTGTGATGAAAGGTTTTTTAAAATTTTTAATTTATTTATTTTGTTAATCCTCACCAGAGGATATATTTTCCATTGATTGTAAAGAGAGAGGAAGGGGACGGGGAGAGAGAGAGAGAAATATCTATGTGAGACACATCAATTGATTGCCTCTCCTACACCCCAGACTAACCAGGACTGGTGATTGAACCCATGACCTTTCCATGCACAGGCTGATGATCTAACCATTGAGCAACCAGGCCAGGACAGCTCTCCAACCCCTAGAGACAAGTGTGATAGGTCATTTTAGGAAGATAAATCTGGTCAAGTTGATGCAGCTAGATTGTGGAGGTGGCAAGCAGAAGAGCAAAAGGCTGCTGGTGTTTGGTTTTGTCTGTCCAGCAAAGGTTTGCAAAGGAAAACTCTCTCCCAGAAGCTCTCAGTGAAAATTGCCCTCATTTTCTCCTTCCTTCCCCGCACACCTGAATACTCCCTTCTTCCTTTCCAGTCCGGTAGTGCAGGTATGCTGCTCTGGGCAGGTATCAGTTCTTCCTTTGGTTGGCTGTTTACCTTCTTTTTTTTTTTTTTTTTTTTTTTTTTAAACATATTTTATTGATTTTTTACAGAGAGGGAGAGGGATAGAGAACTAGAATCATCGGGGAGAGAGAATCCTCAATCAGCTGCCCCCTGCACACCCCCACCGGGGACGTGCCCACAACCAAGGTACATGCCCTTGACCAGAATCGAACCTGGGACCTTTCAGTCCACAGGCCGATGCTCTATCCACTGAGCCAAACCGGTTTCGGCTATTTACCTTCTTGTCTTAGTTTCCTGTCCTCGGGGGCTGTTACTAAGGATCCACACGTGAATCTGATTCTGTGAACTCTGTGAGGCTGGTGGTTTGCATCTAAGCCATCTGTTGACAGCTCCCCAGCCCCTAGGCTCAGGTGCCCAGTGGCCATCTCGGGTGGGTCTCGCTGCGCAGAGGGTGAGTCCCTGGGGACTCTCTGGGCACTTGTGAGGCTTCTGGGAGAGAGTTTTCCTTTGCAAACCTTTGCTGGACAGACAGAACAAAACACCGGAAAACAATTTTCACTGAGAAAGGCGCAGCAGCCTTTTGTTCTTCCTTCTGCCATCTTCACAATCTGGCTGCACCAGCTTTACCAGATTTATCTTCCTAAAACTTTGCTGGTGTCCAGTGCTCTCCCCTTCCTCTCCTGTGCTTCGTGGAAATTGGTCCTGTACTCAGAGCCACTCTGGCTAGATGGCTGAATTGGTTGGGTCACCACACCTCTTCACAGGGACTCCTCAAGTGTTGAATGCCTGGGAGTTCTTCATTCCAATATGCTTCTTAAGCTCTTTAAGACTGTGGGTGTGTAGTAAATGCTTTTCTGCTGAGATCTGGGGACATGTCACTTTGCATGTACTGCTGATATTATGCTGATATATACATAAGGCCTACATATTTTTAAGTATTTTAGTAAAATTATATGTATATATATAATATGAGGCCTGGTGCATGAATATATAGATGAGGCCTGGTGCACGAAATTCGTGCACTTGGTGGTGGTGGTGGGGCGTCCCTCAGCCTGGCCTGCATCTTCTTGCAGTCTGGGACCCTTTGGGGGGTGTCCGCCTGCCAGCTTAGGCCCGATTCCCAGGAAGCTGGCTGTCAGACATCCCTCTCGCAGTCCATGGCTCTCCAGCCTGGGACTCCTCGCTCCTTACTGCTCGCCTGTGGTGGAGGCAGGAGAGGTTCCCACCCCTGCTGCTGCCCTTGCCAGCTGTGAGCCCGGCTTCTGGCTGAGCAGCACTCTCCCTGTGGGAACACACTGACCACTAAGGGGCAGCTCCTGCACTGAGCGTCTGCCCCTGGTGGTCAGTGTGTGCCATAGCGACCAGTTGTTTAGCCGTTTGGTTGATTTGCATATTAGGGTTTTATTATATAGATATAACAACATACGTGTGTGTGTGTGTGTGTGTGTGTGTGTATATAATATATATATGTAGGATATATACATATATATATATATGTAGGTATATATATCCTACATATTTTTATTTTTTATTTTTAATATATTTTATTGATTTTATACAGAGAGGAAGGGAGAGAGATAGAGAGTTAGAAACATCAATGAGAGAGAGAGTCATCAATCAGCTGCCTCTTGTACACCCCCTACTGGGGATATGCCCGCAACCAAGGTACATGCCCTTGACCGGAATCGAACCTGGGACCTTTCAGTCCCCAAGCCGACGCTCTATCCATTGAGCCAAACCGGTCCCGGCAATATCCTACATATTTTAAAATATTTTAGTAAAATGATATATATTACATATATACACTGCCTTTATAATTATTCAAAGTTTGTGTGTACATTTTTTGGGGACACCCTACATTTGTTGGCTCTCATTGTAACTAGTAAGTGAGAATTATGAGTCTAATTTAATGTGTTGGATTTTGTGCTAGGTTCAGGAGAGGC